GAGAAGGAGGACTATATTTGACCTTATTTATTGCCCTCTTCACAACTATTCCCGTGATAATGCTTTTTTGGTCCGTTTCCTCGTCACTCTCTCCACGCAAGAATGAAAAGGTCAAGTACGCAGGTCGTCCTGTTGAGTATTACCTGGAGTTCCACGACGAGTTGGACCGGGCCACATATCGTGGCAAACACAAGATCCCTATGGAAACATTCTACGAAAAATATTTCAATGGCGATGTCTCCTTCAAAGATGATGCCTTGGAATGCCTCGAATACCGTCATGATTGGGCAAATTTCAAATTCACAATGGGTCTTTTCAAGCACTTCCTCGTGAGCTTTATCCCGCAGCTACTAATACACAATCGCTCTCAAGGTAAGGCTGAGATTTGGATCTGTTTATGGTACCGATACTCAAATTTTAATACTTAGATGAAGAGCAAGTACGTGGTCACTATGACCGTGGGGATGACTTTTACTCATGGTTTTTGGGCCCGCGTATGATTTATACCTCAGGAATTGTCAGCGACATTCATACCGAGGAAACGCTGGAGAAACTTCAGGATAATAAATTGGCCATAGTCTGTGAGAAGATCAACCTCCAAAAAGGAGACGAAGTCCTCGACCTAGGCTGCGGATGGGGTACACTGGCGAAGTATGCTTCGGTCCACTACGGCGCCAGAGTCACAGGCATCACACTTGGTCGCAACCAGACTCTTTGGGGAAACAAGAGGCTAAGCGAAGCTGGAATTGACAAGTCGCAAAGCCAAATCTTTTGCTCTGACTACCGTGATTCCCCACGTGCTAGTGGTGGCAAAGGCTATCAGAAAATCACATGCCTTGAGATGGCAGAGCACGTCGGTGTCCGCCACTTTTCATCATTTTTAGGCCAGGTATACGATATGCTTGAGGATGATGGGGTGTTCTTCCTCCAAATTGCCGGTCTCCGCAAGCCCTGGCAGTACGAAGATCTTATTTGGGGCCTTTTCATGCATAAATATATTTTCCCTGGTGCTGATGCCAGCACACCTTTGGGTTTTGTGGTTGGTCATCTGGAAGCTGCTGGCTTTGAAATCAAGAGCATTGATAACATCGGTGTTCATTACTCTGCCACTCTTTGGCGCTGGTATCGTAACTGGCTCGGTAATCGTGAGAAAGTCGAAGCCAAATATGGAGCGAGGTGGTTCCGCGTTGGTCTTCCCTGTTCTCTCTGTTCCTTCTTGACTTTGAATTAATAATTTACAGATTTGGGAATACTTCCTTGCCGCCTCCACCATTACCTCTCGACAGGGCGGTGCCACATGCTGGCAGATCACCCTTGTTAAAAATATTAATTCAACTCATCGAATTGAAGGCCTTGGTACACAGTTTGGAATTAATGGCGCACTCCAGGCTGCTATTAACCGCACCGGGGCCCTAGCAAGTAGCCATTTGAAATGACCAAAAGCTTGATATGTCCATATACTTATCGGACTTAGCGCGCACTATTCGCACCTTTCACTAAGTGAGGAAGGTGAGGAATCGTTGAGTAATCAACGGGGTTTTGTCTTGGTCCCCAGATGATATCATTTATCATATTACTGGAGCAAAAGAAGGAATGAAGAACGCATGAGAACTTTTGGAATCCAACACACTAGTGGGATAATCGAACTTTACAAGATGCAAAAAAAGAAAAAGAAAAAGAAAAAGTTGAGTTTTGTGAGACTGGCAGAACATAATGATCCATAATTTGCATTACCTAGATACAACTCTATCATCATGTGAGTGAATATTCTTCACAGATGTTGATGGCTACGGATGTATCGCTCGTAAATGAGTCAGTGAGAGTCTCCTAGGGAGTAATTTTATTGGGGTTGCCTCATGTGATGGACGCGAAGCAACATCGAGCTTACTGAGGGGTTTCTTCCATCCTGCAATTGCCGCACGGGAGTCAGTTGCTCGCCTTTGCAGGTAGCTCATCTTGTCTCACGCAATCAAGACTCGATTTTGTTCTTCCATAATCCCTTCATATACCTGACGGGTACGGTATAATGCTTTTCCGTATAAGACCTCAGCGACAGGTGAGCCGTTACGGCCAACTTGGAGTATATGTTCCTTATCCCTCTTGACCGCGCGAGGTCACCAATAAAATAATACATAATTTTCTGCAAAGATAGAGCAAACAACCAGAAGGACTCAAGCCATTGAACGGGGCCTTGGCTTGCTATCTGAGTTGTCAGGCATGGCGGCGTACCCTACAAGAAGAGTGGCTGACTGGATGGAGAATGGAGTCAGCTTGTGAGCTCAATAGAAATAACCAAACAATTTTGAATGTAACTAGATCCCTCTTGCTTTATCCGAAAAGGAAAGCTCACCCTTACCGCTACCTCTACTAACGACACGTCACCTCAAGTACCCTACGTATTGGAAGCAAGAAGACAAATAAAGTTCTAATCGGCACCTCTGTAACTACAAGTCTCGGATGAAAGTATTATCTATTATGATCGACCACATCTTTAAATAGGTAAAATCCCCATTTATTAATCAGGCCAGCCAGGTCGGTTGAAAACTCTTCTCCTTGCCCACTCTTCTTTCGCACGAGAGTAATCTACACGACTGAAAAATGCATTATTATCCTGCGTTTCCGCGCTCAACACACTTTCGGACAAGGATTCTGTATGCCAAGATTTCTCATAATGAGTCCCATCACGATTTGGTTGCGCACGAGGCATTGCCACTAAACAAGTGTGGTATCAATTCGTCCAGCGTGCTGCTACGTCCAGGTGAGGACGCGCTCTCCTGGTTTTCAACATCTTGCACCACGACTCACTATAAGTAGATACCTTTATGATGATAATAGCATGGTGGATAATCTTCATACTCATTTTGACTTATATCATTGGAATAGGACTTGGACTGCAAAGTGAGTCGTGCGACATTAATAACGCGTGATTGCTAGGGGGCTGAGAGTCGAACTAAATAACAAATAGGTTCAATAGCAGCTGCATTTGAAGTATCTCCACAAAGCAGCGCTGTCAATAATGGCCGAAAATATCTTTCTATTATTATCAATTTGGTGATAGGTCTTATTTGTCTGAGGGCTATAATTGCTGCTTTTTATGTTTCAATGGCAATCGCAACGGGAGGCTCGGTGGACGGAAGTCAAATGATGAGATCAATCAATAATTTATTTCTTTGATGGAACTTCCACCAATCTTTTTGACTCCCAAAACGGCCTTCAAACACAAAACAGCGCTCGATGAAGCAAAGTTTAGATATGATCTCACCTATCAATGCCAATATGTAAATTACTTGCTCGTGTCTATACTTACAGGGGGATGATATGATCCTAGTAATAGCCGGCCTTGGGCTGTCAAGTTTGGAGAATACCTACCAAGCGATGACAATCTTTGTGGCATCAAAGGAAGGATATAAACCAGGTTGAGTATACCATATACGGCGTCTTGACCACGACTTAAAACAACCACAGGACTAATCTTTGTAGGACTATCGCGGAAGAGCGAGCGACGTGGGAGTCAAGCGGGCGGATACTTAATTCTCCCTTCGGCCATCAATTCCCGTATTCGGCCCACATACTTTGTGACTACTTATGGGGTCGCGAACGGACGTATTTCCGATTTCTATTTCACATAGCATTGTAGTTATCGATGATCGATATGGTGTCGTCGAATAGAGTCGCCAGCGCAAATTCTAACAGTTTCATTTGCCCCTCACATCCCCACAATCTTGTGGCTGGCTGAAGCTCGACGATCGTGCCTAGATGTAGTCAGAATTTCCGCAACACTTTTAGCGAGGCTCAGCTGGAAGTGGGTATGAGTAGCTAGATATTCGAGAATCTGAAGATCACTAGCGGTGTGCACATTTTCCTTTCTAATAATGCTTTGAACAATCCGGGAAAAATCAGGCACACAAGCGGTGAGGCTAGATGTGAAGCCGGCCAAAAACCAGTGGGCCCCAGACTACAAGGGTATTGTATCGTTAACGTCCTGGTCATACAGTACGAATGGATCAATGGATGGATGGATGATCTCATTTACCCCGACTCTCGCCGAAGTTGAAGTCCTGAATTGAGGGACAAGTGTGATCATTTTTCTTAATCTATAAGAAAAGAGCCAGGTGCTTATAGTCGCAGTAGGCTAGTAGCTCACCTCTCCACTGCTTAGTGGAGTGGCCGCCTGTTAAGCAGCCACTCCTATAGGTAGACCCCTCCCCCAACCCGTCCACGGAAACCCGAACCACGACCCAAAGCGGTACCCGTACAACCCGCACTAGGCCCAAAATAGTAGCATGCCAGCGAGTATAAAATAATGCTGTATCCTTGGAAACACCCCAAGGTATGGCTCTAGTATAAAATTGAATAAAATATCTAGTACAGTTCGTAGCTTTGCAGTCGTCCTGAAGGTACTGTTATCCTACCGGATGATCTTCGGTGAGGTCTATCGTCGAGCTTTGTGATCGGAGGTGGGAGCAGATTCCCGTCGTCGCCTTCTTCTTCGGCCATCACCGTCATTTATGTATTGTGACTTTATCAAAGGGTGGTTGCATCTCTGCAGCTACGCTTTCTACTGGATCCGCCTCCTCGATTGCAAGACCTCGGTCGAAAATTTTCGGTCGGGCCATCTTCGTCGTCGCTGATAGGTGCAATGTCGTCTTCTGTTGCTCTTGAAGCCTCGTTGTTTACCAGGGCCGTCTGGATTTCTGTCTCGGTCGTTAAATCTTTTAGGAGACCCAGCTGCTGCCTATCTAAAATGAATTTCTCTGAGCACGTAGACAGTATCAGATCTTGAATAATCGTCGCGTTGGGAGATCCACGGCGGTAGTGGCTGTTGTAGTTCAGAGGAATGATTGATTATCCATTACTTCTGGGGAGTACAAGAGATTATATACAACGTGAAGTCCAAGTTGATTCGAAATCAACTTGGTTCTTCGTATACATCGTGGAGGAATTATTTCCGATGATGCGGCTTACTTCCTGATCCGCACCAGCCTTATATCACAACAATAATGGCCTCGGGCCGTGAAAGGGAGGTCGGATCCGACACCTAGGGGCTGATCTTGCTGAGCCATAGGTCCATCTGAACATGGATCTGGATCGACGCGGGGACAAGGCTGAACCAATATTGGCCGTACCACATCTACTTTGAGGATTTTGAACTCATAACCACTATTATTAATTTGATTTTCTCAGATATCCTTCATATATCGCGTATTTAGTTCCGGGGCCCTTGTTGCTTGTTCGTATATGAGATGTGAGATGTGTATTCATTGGTTGGCCCTCGCAAAGATATATTGTGAGCTGAATGGGCCGAGGAATAGCGCCAATTTCCGTAACAGTGGACACCCTCTCGCGGTAGATTTTACCACTACTTACAATTCGATGTGAAGGACGAGGGATCAGAAAGAAAGAATAAAAAAAAAAAGAAAAAAAGGAATTGCCTCATTGTGTGATGGTGACATCAACCAAATGTAGGGATGCACGACGACCAAATCGCCCATTGACCCGACCCTCTGTCCCTAATCAACTCACATTCTACATACCTCCTCATTTTGACCATACCATACACCATGCCGACGCTGACGTTAGAACAGATTTGTGGGCTCCGTTCAGCCGGAAACTTTTCCGGAGGCTCTGCTCTACTGTTGCTATTCCTTTCGAGGTCCTCGGCTAGCGCCAGGTGACACCCAGCATCGCGAACGCGAAAGGCTCACAGACCCTGTTGCGCCCCTGTTGCGCCCAGCCTTGCCGAACTCGGGACTTATCGATAAGCCACAATATTGGCGGCAACAGGAGGCCTACGACCCGAACGAATAACGAACTGAGCATGTCGTCGCGTAGGAACGCTAACCTCACCCCGGTCAGTCATTGAAGAAACGTGTGAAGAACCGTCTGAAGCAGCGCATAGTGCGCGGGCGCACTGAATCTCATATCCAAACGCTCGAGCAGCATGTTCGAGACCTCACGCCACAAAAACCCGCCCACTACCGTCAGGCTGTTCTCCGGCACAACGAGCAACTCCAGTCAGAGAGTAGAGAGCTCCGTCAAGGGTTCAAGTCCGCTGTGAATAAGATACAGCTCTGCTGGCAACGCCAGAAATTGCAGGTAAGGTCACATCAACTGAGGCAGTCGAAATGGACTAACCTCGGTACACAGATCTACCATTGCTTCTCTCTCAACCGGCACTCACCGGGGCCCTACCAGCCGCGCAGGGCACTGGACGGCCAGCATGAGAATATTGAGCATGAGATAGGATTTCAAATGGAGCGAAGGCCCAACCACAACTCTCCTATGGGGCCATTTCAAAAATTAGCGCAGGCCGAACGCAATGGGCACAGCGGTCCAGACAACTCGAACACCTCCAGCCTAAACCTACCGACCAGGGCCTATCTACACCACCGACCGCCATCCGACACACCAGACCGACATGTTCACGGGGAGATCTGGTGCAAAGAATGGCCCAAGAGACGCTGACTGGGCCACCACGCCTAAGCATCTCGTCGCTGCTCAACCCCGAGACAACGGTTAGTTGTAGCTGACCTCAATCCTTCCAATCTGCTTAGCATACCTTGGATATCTCATTTGTTCCAGATCGGGCTACGGTGCATAGCACCGTATTCGTCATTCTCTGGCGAATATCTCACACCTGAAGAACTCCGACCAGCTTCCTAAGTGGCTTAAATCATATTCGGCACGACTCATTTAAGCTCATCCTGCTGGAATGGACTCTATCCCTTGGCCACTTACGCGGGACCTGCACGCTACAGCACTCTACTAATACATTCTCTTCGTAGTTTGCTAGTCAATTGGCTGTGTGAATCCACTGGTTGTTGACTCTCGGACGGAGACTTCATCTCTGTCTTTGAGCGGCATTTCAAATGTTCTCTTGATCCACCATTTGATGAAAGCCATCTGTGGCTGGTAGGTATCACACGAACATCACTATTAGCGGGTAACCTGCACCACATTACAATGCTTACCTCGTAGTTCAGTGGTTGAGTTGTGTCTTGAATCTACACGCATTGGTTGTGTGAGTCTGGGTCACGCTGGCCTCGGTCCTCTTGTAATTGTTGTATGGCGTTGCGGCTATGAAACGTTGTGAACGGCTTCCATTTCGGTAAGCACTTCTCGCATTAAATTTGCTAATATGGTCGAATCGGTTTCTAGAAAATCCGATCAAGGGCAACAGGCCTTTGGTTGAGGGAACCAGGTTTCACAGGAACAAGAGGGAAGAGACAACATGCAACTGCATTAAAGCCTATACCATTGCTTCTCATCCTTAGTAGCAGAAAGTCGAAGAACAGTTGAAATCTGATGCCACTGTACATCTCAAGCACCAGATCAGTCATGGCGAGCATGGTCAAGTGGCCAGCCTTCAGGTGTTAGCTGCCCACAGAACTCAGGGTTGTACACGGTGCCTGTCTTGTCCAGGGTAGCCACATACCGATTGCGACCCCCACGTTTGCCATGCGTTTTATAGTGGGCATTGAGGTTGTCGCGCCGCGAGAAACTGCGTTGGCACCCAGGGACCCAGCAGACATGAGGTCTCGCTCCTGAATGGCTTGCCAGGTGACGATTCAAGCTTTTTTGGCGTTTGAATTGGCGCTTGCATCCCGAAATCCTGCAATTGAACTGCCTCCGTGGCGTGCTGGCTTGTGACCTCCGAGACCAAAATCGGAGGAATCCTGCGTGCGGATGTGATTGGGGGATTGTCGGAAGACTTGACAGGCCTCTGCAGCCTGCGTATCTTGTCCAATGTGCTGCCCTCCAAGCCGCTCTAGCCAGGGGTCATTGACATTCTGTGGGGTTGGGAAGGGGCAAGTTCCGAACAAATTAGGCGCAAGGTCAAAGTAACCAGGGGAAGCCTCCAAGGGTGAGTTCGATGGCTCCCAGATAGGCAGGTATCGAAACCAACAGACCACAGGCCGCCATCCGCAATGGCTGGAACCTGGATCAATTGGGCAACTCATGTGTCGACAAAGATGACCATGGTCTCTGCTTTGGCTGATGTGCAATGGGTGTGTCGAGCCCTGAGAGATAAAGTCACACTTTTCATGCTGGTGGAACTCCATGCTAGGCTGTTCGATTGGTATGGGATCGGTCAGGTCTTTTTGTTCGCTTCTGTCGCGGTAGAAAAGTAGTTTGTCGCTTGGGAATATCATATCCGTCTCACATGCTTCTGTTTGCAAGGATGTTGCCGTAGTTGTTGTATCATCTGTGAACTGTAGCCCACACTAAGCATGAATCGAGATTTCTGTGCCGAAAATGAGGCGAAAGTAGGAGGCATTAACCCCACTGTCAAGAGCGATGTCTGAGTACGAAAATCGATCAGTCTAGTAAGTGAGACCTAGTGTGTATAGAAGAAGGAGTGGCCCCTTGAAATAACACGGACGGAAAAAAAAAGGTAGAAAAAGTCACAAAAACTCGCACAGAAACCTACAATACCTGAATCATCGCTGCTTGCCCACCCAAATTGCTGAGTTGACCCTCCCTTCAACAAATCCTATCGAAAACGAAGTCGTGCCATTTGCTGCGCACGATTTTATTTCAACGTGGCCTCTGATGTATTGTTGACAAATACATGAACAACATATGAAGACGCCTGTTTGTGAGGCGAGATGGTCGTTGATTCAACGTTGACCAGACACCACCGGTGAGGCTGGTTCAATAAGGGATTTTGCCGCCGACAACTAGGAATTCAGCAGTCATGGGCGCCAAGCATAATACGAAATTCCCAGTCTTCCATCAGTCGTTGGTAGGGCTTTTTTAATTATTGCTCACCGGTCCTGGCCAGCCAAATGCTTTCAAATTGAGGAAATATAGTCCTTTAAATTTATGCAGCCGTCGAAGCTGTGAGACATGATTCAACGCTGCTTGAACAGCTTATTGGGTTACTAACATATTCATCAGCATGGGAATAGGGATGCTCAACAGCCGCCAATAACAAATAGCCATCAATACTCAAATAAATGACTGCGTTGATAGACCTGTACCTCTGTCGTAACACTAACGAGGTGACTACGTGTCTCTAGGTGGACTATAAGAGAGGCTATCATCCGGTATGCACTAAATTACCTTGAAATTAATTCTTCGCCCTTCACGAAATGGATGCTCCATGGAACGTACCGGACCAAAACAGTGGAGATCAGGAGCCGAGCGGACTGCCAATTCAGGTTGTTACAGGCCACCCAAAGGACGCTTCTGATCCCAAACCACGACAGGTAAGTTAGGTGCATCCCATACAGTATTAGATCGTGTGGCTGACTACTGGAATTCTCCCTCCCGCAGCTGGAAACCAACCAGAAAGAAACCCTGACGACCGAGCACTTTCAACCCATCTTGGCGACACTAGCAAATCTCGAACGCGACGATCCGAAACTCGCATTTCAAGCGGCTCGATCCGTGGGGCTCTATCGACGTCTATGGGCATCATGTGTGCCTAGGCACCTCAGTGGCGAGGATGTCGACCAAAAGATTCAAATCTCGAAGGAGGCTAGATTCAACCCGAGCAAAGAGAGGAATGGACCTCAGCTTCCTGCTGATGAGCAACGATTACGACTGCTTTCCTTTGAGCAGGCTTTGGAATCGTCTCGGGAACGACTGACTGTCCTGCTCAATGGCTGGAATCAATGCTCGAAAAGTAGTCTGGGCATGTTGGTGGATGTCAAAAGAACCGAGTGAGGGGTTGCCAGTGGGAAGTGTGCCATGTAATTCTTAACAGTCATGTAATGACCCAATGAGAGAATAAGTGAAGCCTGTATGCAAACGTAGCGTTAATCTTTTGCCAGAGTTTTGTTTTATCTTGAAAATGTGGTACAAGCAGCTTGCGATTACGTGTGATACTGACGATCTTGCGGACGTCGCTCGGGCAAACAATTGAAACACAAGTACTATCACACGAGTTGCGTTGAATTCATTTATAGTTTTCCAGGAGATTATGTACAAATAACGACGGATCCAGGGATGGCGTCGTGGGTAGTGTCGCTAGCGGGGACAAGGTAGAGTGACCAGAATACGGTAGAGGTTCTGTGCGTGGCCACAAAGATAATTGGAAGCAGATGGGTGTCACTCCCAGAGTAGCTAGGGATATGATGTCCAGGATCTGTCCACGCACCCGGCGTAGATTCCCCATGGCCGTTTCAACACGGGGCAGGAAGAACAGATGCTCTCCCACCGTCTCGCCGGTTAACTGATGAAATCTTGCAAGCCTCAACTCTACCCAGTAGACCTCTTTAAAAAGAAAGAACGCTGACATGTAAAGGAAAAGGTCATCAGCTTGAGTGGCGAACGACAGAGGATCTGGACCCGTCCACTTGAAGCCCGACTGGTTATCGTTGTTGGGGTGGAAGAAGCATTCGACCAAGGGGGATCCTTGTCCCTCGTGTGTCACAGACTTTAATACATTCGGAAAGTCTAGCCCAGGGTCTTCGTGATCAGCGCAAAGACATGGAGGCGGCGCCGGTATACAAGAAGACTCTTGCCAGATTGCGTGAAGATCGAGATCGAAGTCGCTATCTAGTCTGTTGTGAGCACAGGCACGCCGTGAAATCGAGTTATACGAACCACCTTGACCGGGTCCATCCATCTGATTCAATTTTTTCCCAGTCTAGTCGTTGTGGGGGAAGTGGCAGGAGCGTTTGAACTGGCAGTGCAGGGTTGCTGGAGGTTTATATAATGTCGAAGGCCAATAATTTCTTTCAATGTGGCAGAGAGAGGACCAGCTAACCAGATGTCAATTATTAAAGGAAAGAGAAACGTGTAATGTACTAAATATTCGTGAAGCGTTGGTTTTCTCTCACCAGGATTAACGAAAGATCACCGTCGGTCGTATGGCCGCCTCACCGGGTATCCGTCAACGTTGAGATATCCCCGGTGAGATATACCCGTCTACAATCCCACAACACCAGCGCTTGTTTATTGAAGCACTGCAGAGAGAGATCTCTATCACCTCACCGCCATCTCTCCACTCTTGAAGCTGTCGTTGAGCTTCCTTCTTCGTGTCTTCCAGGCAAATTTGATGAATTATTGTTGTAGTTCAGAGGAATAATTGATTGTTTTATTAAGAGGGAAACATGAGGCCATATATACAATGAGAATATCAAGTTGATTGGAAATCAACTTGTTTCTTCGTATAGACACCTCGGGATTTATTCCGATGGTGCGGCTTGGTTCCTGATCTGCACCAGCCTCATATCACAACAATTATCATTCTCATAGGCACAAGCAAGGGCCGAGAAGCTTGATTGTTGTCACAGCGACAGGGTGTTGCCATAGAAGCGGCACTAGCTACATCGTAAGGAGACCACCTGGGATGACGGGGATCTACTCAGGCTACTTAGTCTCGTTCGCTTGTTATCTAAAAAATCCTGACATTGATTTCCATTATTGCACAAAGTCATGGTTGCCGAAGCTTAGCTTCAGATAGGGTGCTAGTAGGTGCTGAAAATCTGAGTGGGCGCCCGTCAAACGACAGCTGGCCACGGAAATCTGGATCGTAGTCGGGGCTCGTCTCGTCGAGGGTAGCGACATAACGGTTGCGACCACCGGGTCTCGCATGTGTCTTCGTAAAATGGACTTTGAGGTTGTCGCGGCGTGAAAAGGCACGGTGACATCCAGGCACCCAGCAGATATAGGGCTTTTCCTTCGAGTGACTCCTTGTATGGCGCTCGAGGTGGTCCTGACGCTTGAAGCCCATCCTGCAGCCAATGATGTTGCGTTTGAATTTTCGCTTGTGCATATCAAATTCCTGGTCGTTGACTTCCAATTTATGATCCGGTTGCTTGCCATGGACGTGGCAGACAGGCAGTGAAGGATCGTTTATACACGCGCTCTTGTCATGGACTATCTGGGAGTGCCCTGGTGGTTGATCAAGAAACCAAGGGAAGATACCGGTACCAGAGGGGATGGGACAGACTTCAGCAGCCGCGTCGAGATTTGCTGTAAAATCTAAGGGTTCAGAAGTAGTTGTCGAAGTATTCGGAAATACCAGCGCAGGGTCGATAGTTTGCATTGTCGAGAAATCAGCCCCCGGCAGCCGTTCAGTTACATTGGACATTGAGATTGAGTCAATTCGTCGCAACTGACAAAGCCTCAATGGTGGCGGGCAAAGTATGGAGGTCGATTCAAGGGAATGGTCTGCTTCCCGAGAAAGATAGAGGTTGGGAATGCCATGGTCCCTGAGCGGGATCGGTGTATGATGATGAGAAACCGGGGAACAGTAGTAGACCTGGATTACTCCATGCTCTGCCCAATTGTCACGTTGCAGCGAAGCAGCATCAATGCGGTTAGCCTTCCATATGCTGTCATCAAGGTCGGACCAGCTTGGCAGGACCTGTGAGTCCAGGTAATGGAAAGGATTGGTCGCTGGGGTCGGCGGCTTGGCGGCTGAGAAATTTGTATCATCATGCTGAACATGAAGCTCTGGTAAAGGCTGAGCCGGCAACAACAGGGGAAGAGATTTGCTATGTTTCCGAGACATATTACCGGCAAATATTGGGTATCGTCGATGTATTTTCAAGGAGCCTGTAGAGAACCGGCGCTGCATACAAATTTATTGACAACGACAGAAACTCCTAGGCTCAATTTGTATTGAAAGCAGACCACAATTGACCATGGACGTGCAAAGAACGGCAATTGCGCATGTGTACTTCGGCATTGGCCATAGTCTTGACATGATCAAGATACGAGTAAGTAAGATGCAGAAAACTGCGTCAATACGGGCTACCTTTATGATGCTCCTAATGCAAATGATGTCAACAGCATCTCAAATATTCCTACAACAAGAGTTGATTCCAAGATTTCTAGCGTCCCAGACACAGTAGATTCGAACTCTCTGATCATTATACTGTACTGCGTGGTCTGATTTCACGTTTCCCTCTAGCTTCGTTGACTCTGGTGAGTTACCATTGAGCCCTCCAATATCGTTTAATTGACTCACCAGTACACTGTCAATCCACCTCATAGGAGCAAAAAATGTCGGCGCCAAACTAGAATTTGCATTCCTAATGTGCTCAGTTCATCATGTTGTGATATGAGTGTGGGGCAGACCAGGAACAAAGCCGCACCATCGGGGTAACACATCAACTGGCCAATATTGACGAAAATGTCTGATACGTGATGAGTTATTGTAAGTAAAGTACTGTAAAGTACCACACCTCATTTTGACACTTGAGAGTGTAGTCTGAGAAAAATAGAAGGTGCAGAGTAAAAAAAGGAGTAACTAGGGGGCTTAGTAAGGCCGTTAAGAGCCTTACGATCATGGATGAAATCAGGCATAACGTTAACTTAAGTTGGTTATGGAGATGATCATCTTCGGACGCACTATTAAGATTGCAACCCTCTTTTAATTAAGCTGGGCACGTTGTTTCCACTTCGTGGCTCACTCCAATTTCTCATTGCTGTTTTGTTATCACCACTGTTTCTTGCCGCTGTTTCTTGCCACTGGTTTGACCTGCTTCGCTTTCAATCCACTCGTCTATCCGGCTCATGAGCTACGAATAAGCATTTATATGTGGCGTCACTATTCTAAATAAGTCTCTGATTGACTCACATCAGCTTTCTTTTCACATTGATTTCAATGAATTAACAGTGTTGGTGTTGTGTCTTGCTGCATATCTTATATAAATTAAACGTCTCCTCGACTTCCAAATTCTTAGACCTCTACGTGGGATTCGATCCGTCAAGTGGTGCTCCAATATAGCGAAGATCAACCGAGCCTGCCACCATTATGATGCTCATCAAATATATTCTATTGTTGGAGACGATCGTCTTACGGGCGGTCAGCGGACATCTGATCATGATGTCCCCTGAGCCCTATAGCAAGGAAACCCTCAACAACTCTCCTCTCGCTGAACATGGTAACGATTTTCCCTGTAAACTACGCACAGATATCAATTTGCTTGGCCTTGATTCTTTTCATGGCTGAAGGCTAGGGGAAAAATGAAGTCTAGGAAAAAGTGAAAATTTCCTTGTTTTATGCGCATTTTCTGTGTCTGTCCGTATAAACAGCAAATAGACTTCCAGAGTAGTATATATCCAGATGCACATCATACAAAATTTCATCAAATCTGCTGGGGCTCCTAGAGAGGAAAGGTTAAGTGTCCCATGCTTCCATGATACTGAGCGACTTGAATACCACGGCGGTTTCCTCCGCCGAATCTCACATGCATGTCGCCAGATGCCGCCGCAGCACCTGGCTCACGAGTGTCCTTCAACAAATTGAGGACCGCCTGAGAATGGTGTATCGCTGGGCTCATTCCGTTCGCATTTTCGAATCTTTTGTTGCCCACTTCTTCTATGGCCTCCGTGACTTTCTGCTGCTGTGAAGATACTGATCGCTTGTTGTCCTGGTTTCTAAAAAGCGATTTGGTTAGAATTATGATAAGCAGGAGATGGAGATTTCAAGACATACATCAAAGCTGCGCCATGCACACATTGAAGAGCCAAATTGCAGGCGGCAAGGCCATCGCGTAGCGACGACATTGCTAGCGGAGTAGATTCGAGCTCGTAGCATTCCGCGATGCAGCAATATAAGAGTGAAAAGACATTGGATAGCACACCACCGTCTAGAGAGCCCCATTGCTTAGCGTTGAGGCCGTGCAGGTTCAGAAGCAGGTTGCCAAGGCGTTCCGCAACTCCAACAACTTGGGTATTCTGAGACGCTGTGTGCTGAACCATGTCTAGACATCTTTGAGCTTTGTTCAAAGCATGATCCAGAGCTGTTGCTGTAGCAGCATCGATACGTTTTTCCGAACTTGAAATCAAATTGTCTTGGGGGTGAATGACTGGTCTTGGTTCGGTACATGGATAAATGTTACCATAGTTGACCCCCACTTGGAGATAACGGTTCTCTAAAGTGAGAGGGATCGGCATTGTCGGAAGAGATCACAAACACTTGAATTTTGGGTCAAGCGATGAGGGGCTACTTTGTGGGAGAATATGTGGTAGGATATCACGGAGAGAAGACATGGAAATGGTAGGACGGGAAGCAAGTATTTATATATTTCTTCGCCCACGATGTGACATCCGGGTCAAACGCTCTTCCACGAAGTGCACTAGTATGGTATATGCAGCGACCGATCCAATCATAGAGCACCTAATGCCACTTATTAAAAAGATAGCAGAATCTGGGAGCTCAGGGTGATTCCAGGAGCTGGTTTACTCCCAAGACATCGGACACCTCTGCGGGGCCGTCGACCAACGATCTGCTCTGTGTAAACATCCATCAAACTTGGTGTTCGTAAATTCTTCAAAACGGAGACTCTGGAAATACCATAGCCACAGCAAATCCTATGTAGCTTTAGGACTATCCATCATCATTATCACGTATCGGTCACGTCCCTGTCGGTGGTTTTATGTGTGCTAGGAACACACTGTCTTGGCCCTGGGAGCTCTCTTGCCCCTGGAGGCCTCTGGAAAGTTTCTGGGAGCAAATAAGTAGGTTCTAGGAGCCACCTAGCCCTGTACGTGAAGCATACGGACGGAGATATGACCTGCGCGGGACCCACGTGGTGCATACGGTGTGTGAGCACCTGAATAATCCTGCACCTCATATCGCTGCTTAACGGTGCCTATGACTCGGTACGCCCCCATTTTTGTTCCACATATGGGTCTCCCTAAACGCGAGGAAGCTTCTCTCTATTGCTTCCTCGCGCCACGGCTTGTCTACCGTCAGCTATAGTTGTCCTCGATGAAGATTGTTGGTCCGAGACACTATCAACCTCTATGTATGCGTGAGACCATCACGTACAAGATCCTCGCTCCTGGGAGCCCGATTGGCTGCTCCAGGAGGTAGCAATCCCTCGCATTAATGACGAGGTATATATCAGGGAGGGCCTGACGTACGCCGGGAAACCTATGGCCTTGCCATCTATTGGCGACTCAGAATCTTTTTTTCAACCCGAGATCCACCGTGCTTGAACCGTGTGTACTCACATGGTAGGGGTCCTGGTAGCTAATACTGCTTCCCGGGAGCCTAATTCGTTCTTGAATTTTTCCCATTAAATTTTCTATGGAACAAGAACTCATCCTGAACCCTGAGCTCAGACAGATTGCCACAACATATATCTTCTGAAAAATATAAGACAGTTAAGCATTCTCTTCCATCTCTCAGTTTTCTATTCAAGTCACCCACCAGGCCAATTCCACTCGAACCAAGCCGTACTCAGCTCCTCTTAGCCCCAACATTTCAATGTGAGTATGCCCGCCTCCACTAGTTACTACACGACGTGGTGCATGAGTTAGTACTAACGTAACGGATAGATGTTTTACCGCGATCTTCCCGTTGAAATGCTTCTTTGCATAGCGGAGAGCCTGGATCAAGCCAGAGATTTGTTTGCACTGGCTTGTCTCAATCACGCAGCGAATGACCTTTTCCTCGACTATCTGTACACGTTCAACGTCCGACACCAACGCAGCTCTGCCTTATTTTGGGGAGTCCGCCGAGGCAAATCGAAGTTTGTAAAAATGATGTTGGACGACTACGGAGCGGACGCCAACACTACGGACGATAGATCTCGCACACCAATTTTTCATGCAATGCGCACTAAGAACGAGACAATTATTCGCACGCTTCTTCTCGACAAGAGAGCGGATATCAATTGGCAAGATCAGCGCAGGCAGACCCCACTCGTATATGCCATTGAAAGGAGTCTTCTGTCTACTGCATCACTTTTACTGGATTTTAATCCATGTCTGAATATAACGGATATCAAGAACCGGTCTGCTATTTGGTACGCCATCGCATTCTGGGATGAGAACCTGGTGCAAGTCCTTCTGGAACGGGGCAGCGATATACGAACGCCAGATTACAAACGATTTTCGCCACTCAGCCTTGCTATTGCCAAGAAAACCCCGAGAATTACCCGGCTGTTACTCCTTCATTCAGATTCCAATTCAAGAAAGACCTTACTGGACGATGTCACTATCAGAAACCGTCTGCTCCGTCAGGCTATACAGGCAAGCCTTCATGATATCATCGCCTTACTCCTTGCCCATGGCGCAGATCCCAATTCTAGAAATAGAGATGGTCAGAGCCTGTTGCATCAAGCCACGAAAAACGGTGACAGGGAGGTAGTCCAACAATTGCTCGCCTATGAAGAGGTTTCCGTCAATGCAACGGATAGAGAGTCCTGCACTGCTCTCCACGTCGCAGCAAAGTATGGATGCACGTCGGTAGCCAAGTGTCTGCTAGCCAAATGCGGTATAGATTCCAACGCAAGAGACAGTTACGGTCGAACCGCATTCCACATCGAAGCAGAATATGGCAATAAGTCGATCACAGGGCTTCTTTTAGCCTATGGTGCTGTGGATATCAATGCCCCAGATGTTAATGGGGCAACAGCACTCTGCTTAGCTGCAGATGCAAAACACACAGCTATAGCCCTGCAGATTCTCGCAGAAGATCATGTGGACGTCAACATGGCCGGTCAAATTGGCAGGACAGCTCTTCACCATGCGGCGAGAACGGGAAATATACCGATCGCATGTGTCCTTCTCGCCAAGGAGGATCTAGATCCTAACGTTCGCGACGACCAGGGATGGCCCTCCCTCACCTACGCTGCTTTCAATGGTGATTTACGCATGGTGGAACTCTTCCTTGCAAGGGGAGACATACAAGTGAACGTGCAACAGGCCCCTCCACTGTTCCATGCCGCCAAAGAGGGTCATGTGGAAGTTGTACGCCGATTACTTCAGTTTGATACCATCGACGTCAATCAGCAATTTTGGAACAGCACGCCTCTCTGTGTTGCCTCCGAGATGGGATACCCGGAAGTTACAAGGTTACTCCTTGAATACACAACACCCCCCGACCTCAATCTCAAAACTTATATGGGAGACACTGCACTTTCCTTGGCCGCTTACCATGGCCATTTGGCTATTATAAATCTCTTGCTGGAGGAAAATGGGCTGGATGTTACCGCTACTGACAAATTCGGAGACACGGCGTTATGCAAAGCAGCTCGGAATGGACACGAACAGGTTGTCAAGCGTCTCTACAGGGACACTCGGGCAAAATGTGCTAGTGATGTGAAAAGGGCGATTGAAGCAGCTTCCGACTGTAGAATTGCGCTCTACCTTGAAGGTCACTTGGATGAGGAGGGCAACTTTTGCACTTGGCCTTGAACTACAGGTCGGCTGTTATTGCTTTGTTGGATTCATTTTTTCAGCGTCCGGGGCTCCAACAAATTATGTAGTTCACGCACATCTCTCCTGAATATAGTCATAAACGCGCTTGACAATATTATGATCTCTTCGTTCTCTTACTTCTACAAGAGTAGCTCGCTTGTACCTATAAACACCCTCCAATGTGCAGATTTAGGTCAAATCTTCTCCTTGAATTACGCTATCGGTAAATCAGGGTTATTGCACAGGCGGTGACAGGTTAAGGGTAGGGTGACATGGCAGGCGGTACTTTCATTGATAGTGAGTTAACTCGCAGAATATTTTGACCTTTTAAATGGAAATTGTAGGCACAACTGGCGGGTGATCTAACATTGAGTCGCTCACAGATGAGCTGATCAGAAAAGAAAAGAGCTTGTCATTGCGGATTGAATATCTCCCACAAAGCCTCAATTTAAGAGGGCCGTGAAGGATTCAACAGTCAGCCAACGTTTCTTGACCGACTCAGTCTTCTCTTTTTCTCAACACAACTCTTACTTGTCTCTCTCGCTGAGCAGCTAAAGGCATCAAAAGTGTCGCTGCAAATAGTTGCGGGAAAAGAAAATATGGCTTTTAACAACCCTCAATAGGGATAAGTTTCCCTCAACGTTTCCTACCCAGCTTGCAAGTGACAGAAGGCGAGAAGCCTATAAATACGTCCTCTACCCCCGGTAATTTGCTCTACGATCAATTCATTTGACTCTGCAAAGTCAAGCAGTCACTTGATAAGTTTTTCCCTTTGGCCCCTACTGGAACTTCCACTGTACTAACATCTATCAAATACATCGTGGAACTGAAACAGGGCCTGTGGGGAGACGTGATTTCCAGCAGCTTTACTGTGCTGGGGAAAACTTTGCATCACGCCAAACATTACTAACGGTGGATTGAAAATCAATCGCAAGCCTCAGCCTCTACACTCACTAGAAATCATTCTGCTTTCATTCCACCCATCCAATTTGGTCGAGCCCCCCCAACCCCAACCCCCCCGCCTTCATCATTGGCAATACTTTACGCATCTAATTCTCGTTCACTCACCAAGAGTCGTTTCGTTTCTTTCCGCCTGCGTTATTCTTGCTGCCTGAAACTCCTCAGAATGCCGCCATTTCAGTTTCAGAGGAATTTCAAACTACCGTGGCTCGCGCCCAAATCCAAAACACGAGTTCGGATTCCGCTACCGGCCACCTCCCACTGCAGACCGACCGCTGCAGTCTAGAAATAGGGAAATCACACCGGAAAAAATCCAAGATGAAACTCAAACCAAACTTCCACTCAAGTTCGCCTCCTTATCTGCCTTGAGCGATAGCGAAGGGGCCCAAGTGGACACGTTCCGATGTTGACTCCGACACTGAGCGACCACGCAAGAAGCGCGCAATGGGTCTTGATGGAGCCCAAGACACTACGCTAATTCCACCCCCCTGCTCCTCTGCTCTGAGATGGCCCAACCCGGATCCATACACTGCGCTACCCCCACCAAGCGAACAAACGAATAACAAGGTCGACGTTGTCAAGCTGATTCGCAAAGCGAGACTTGACAATGTAGCGAAGGCAGATGAGACAGATGAACTCAGGGAGAACTTTGATTTCATTTCCCTCGGAATTATCTCGGAATCAGAACCTCAGAGCAACGCTCCCGAGAACACCTCCGGCCTCGCCCTCAAAGGGCCAGCAGGCCAGGAAAGTATGTATTCTGCCAATCCCAGTCGAAAGCGAACCCGTGGGGGCGCAATCAAACGCCATTGTAAAATACCGGCAAGGCTGCAAGCAAGTACGACTACGACGGTTCCGTTATAAATGAGTGGAGACCACTGTCTCAAGAGCTGGGCACGTCTTGGCTTGAATCCACTCCGTCTTCCTTACACATAGGACCCCAGTCAGTATTCTCTCTGTCCTCTCGATCGCTATTGAGTAGTTCCTTTTCTAACCCACACTAGGTTAGATCACGAGATTCTCAGATTCTATGACTGGGCCAAGACACAGGAAATTGAAAACATTGGCCGCAGAGATCTCGTCGAACGCTTGAATATTGCATCCAAAGTCGATACGCTGGCATTGAAATCCATGCATTTGGCTCTTTTGTCTCTGGTATCTCTCTGCCTACTGCCGATATTGACCTTGCTACTGTCAGACACTTTCAGACGCAAAGGAGTGCGTTCATTTGGCGAAAGGAAAGGACATATACACGCAATTTCGGGCTTCCTGAAAAGCACCAATATCGCTGTTCCGAACTCAATTGAGTGCATTGCACATGCTTGGGTGCCGATCCTAAAGTTCGTGGACAGGGTGACTGGGCTGCGTGTTGATATGTCCTTTGACAACCATAGTGGGTTGATCGCCAACGGGACATTCCAAAACTGGAAGGAGCAGTTCCCGATAATGCCGGTCATTGTGTCAGTGATCAAGCAGTTTTTGCTGATCCGTGGCCTCAACGAAGTCTCGACGGGTGGACTGGGAGGCTTCTCTGTCACTTGCTTGGTCACAAGTCTACTCCAGCATCTGCCCCACAGACATATTCAGCGCAACCCTGGCAGCATTCTCATGGAGTTCTTCAATTTCTACGGAAATCATTTTCAATACGATCATATGGGAATCCGTTTGAATCCTCCGGGATATTTCAACAAGGTGGGATGGGTTGAAACAGTACTTTGTGCATCAGCTGACTTGTGAAACACAACAGACATATTTTGGGAACCCCGATCGTCTCACCATTGAAGATCCAAACAATATGGACAACGACATTTCCGGCGGCACGAGCGAGATCAACCTGATTCTTCGTACCTTCGCTAGTGCCCATACCAATTTGAAGAATCGTATGGAATACCTCGCACTCGTCCAAGGCCCGAACAAAAGCATTCTAGGACCGATCATTGCAGCGAATTTTGAAAAATACCTTGGAACGCAATCAACTTCGCCAGGTCTTCATAACAGAAAACAGATTTGCTTGGTACGGTGTGCCTCCACCGCCGCCGTCAGAACCTGATCATGTTGGCGGAGTTCATTCCGCTCCCCCGCCGCTGCCCGCCGGGCCGCCGCCTATAAGCCCTCCCACACGCCAGGCGCGAAGACCGAGATCAAAGTCGAAGGGCACGAGAGCCGAGCCAGAAGACATTTCCGATGAATATTCTAGCAAAACGAAGCTAGCCAAACCCCGCAAGGGCCAGGTAGGACGACAAGCGCGTCGATGGCGTGCAGCCAGAATCAAACGCCTCAGGCCTGATCTCAAGAATCTTCCCAGCTCCTTCAGTATCAAACAGGCTCTTCGGCACGCCGGCTATGAGACCAACGGGGAAATGAAACATGACTTGAACTTGAGAGAACAGAGACAACCCGCGGCCTAAGTGGTTCTCCCCGGAATCAGTTTCGACGCCCGCGACGATTTTCTTTTGACTATTGTTTGTACGATTATATTGTACGATGATACCCCTTTGTTGAATTGTGTTGCCATTCATGATTTGCATAGAAAACAGGAGACATGCTATCCGCGGTGGGGTCAATTATATCTATTCCGGTGCTTTGCCTTTGTGTCAACTTCTCAACGACGAGAAGCGATTAACCAGTGGAGTCTGGAATATAGGCTTTCTTTGAGCCCAGAAGTCAAGTTACTTATTTTTTAATATACTCCGGCGACTTTCCCAGTCGTTTACCTGTGTCTGGATGCTGGCTTAGCTAGTGCAAAAGAGCAGGAATTAATCCAACAAGCCTGTTTGTAAAACTAGCTCATACAGAATTTCCTGTTCCCTCAGGGATTCAGTTAGTGATTCAAATAAAACCCACCAATAGTTGATTCGCCTCATGCATACCAACATTTGGGTATTTATAATTCTTTCCCCTTCCCTTGATGCCTTCCTTCCACTCAGTATACGCCATATGCGATTTCCGAGAGAGGACTTGAGGATCAGGGGTTGGGTTGGATTGAGGTACGTATATGCAGTGAGCATTTGGGGGGCATTTATCGACATAAGTTGGGGTTCGTTGTAGGGTCAGGGTTTTAGCTTGGCACACTGGTATCGTCCTACTGGCTTTAAGGTAAGAGATCCTCAAAACAGGTCGATATCGAGTCTGTCGTTTTTGTAAAAACGTGGCGCCGTTTGATCGATCAGTGTCATGAGCGATAGACTTCCGTCTAGAGCGTGTCGATGACTTCTGGGTACGACGAAGCTAGTTGTCATTTGACTAGCTTCATGCTCTGCTGCATTAAACAGCTTCTGTGAGGTCCTCAATTGGACAAGTGGGTCAAAGGGTCATGGACAACATTTTTAACCAACGAGATACATGGGAACACGGTGAGGAGGCTCACATCTCGAGTAGCCTGATCCGCCCATTGGGGATCGTATTGTCTCCGGGGAAGCGGAAGGGCTCCCAATCGTCATCCTCGAAATCGACTAGCTCGAACTCTGTCTCATACCTCTTCTTAGCTCGCTGGATTGGAAGCCAGATCACAGCCGCTTTTTGCGCAATTTTCCTTATACTTATGCAAATCGAGTCATGTGGGGTCTCTGAGAGCAATTTCCACAAATATGTCGACATGTTGCGGATCACCGTCTGAACTCTTGCCTGGCCTCAACTAGACAAGTCGAGGCACGGCCTAGATTACTGCTTACAAAAACACTTGGTTAAACGCTAAGATAATTTGAAGCAGCCAATTGAAACAGTGTGACCGAGACTGAATTAGCGAGGCCTATCAAAGGTCACAGATAGTGTGCAAAATGTCAATGATCCGTCTCTAATCAGATCCTAGATATTAAATTTAACAACCCTTCCTTCCTTAGTGACAGTTTCGAACGCCGGGGCTAACTTCCCAACCCATGTGCCTTTCAAGTTGAAACATCCGGAATCACGAACGGTGCAATGCTTGCCAACTTCTCGCGAGTTTCCATCAGCTCTCGCTGCGGGTTGGACTGAGAGATGACGCCAGCTCCAGCTTGGATCCAACCACGACTCTGATCCTGGAACGCAGTGCGCAAGACCAGTGCTGCTTCAAAAGATTCTAAATCTTCAATCATGAAGACGGCGCCAGAGTAGAGCTCTCGTGGCTCATCCTCCAGGTGTTGAATGGCTTCGATAGCTGCATGCTTCGGAATTCCGGATGCTGTAATTGACGGGAACAGGACATTAAAAGCATCCCACACATCTTTTTCGGGTGATAGGGTCCCAGCAACACGAGACCCTAGATGCTGAACAGAGCCACGCGTTCTGATTGACATCAAATCTTCGACCTTGATAGTATCTGGTGGACATAGTCGTCGAAGCTCTGTAATCGCTTCTCTCACCGATACGACATGTTCCACAATTTCCTTCGGGTCGTTTAGCAGCTCATGTTGCAGTTCCTCGACTTCTTCATTTGTTCCTGTGGCTGATCGCGTTCCAGCCAACGGCTCAGTTGTCACCCTTCCATTATCCACTGACATCACTAGCTCCGGGCTAAAACCTGTAGCCTGGTAGCCCGCGTGGTTTAAGGAGAAGCTTCGTGCGGGATTGTTGGAACGCCGGCCAGTCAGCAGAGTAGCCGGCATGTTGATCTTGTACTTGATTTCTACAGCGCGTGATGGAATGACTTTCGTGTACTGGCCTTCGGCTATGTCAGAGAGAGCCCTTTCAACAATAGCAGTGTAAGCGCCTTTGGTGTCTTGCGTGTCGATGGGCTGGATATTCTGAGGGCGGATTAGACCAAGGCCGCCAGTGTCATGCTGGATCGACTCATATAAGCCCTTCACTTCTTCGTCATGAATTCCCTTCAGCGTAACAGTATGTTGATGAAGAAGAATTTCGATGCGGGGAACTAGCAGGGCTAGTAGAGGCCAGTTGCCAAATGTAAATGCTTGTCCACGAACATGTGCAGCATAGTTGAACCCAGCTTGGCCGAATATCCTGCAACCAGTTTTCATGTTATCGGAGACGAATTCTCTCGCAATATCAGTAACCGAGGATCCATCCATTGGGCGTGATGCTTGACTGGATTCTGTATTGACGGTCACAGTCTCTCCTTTACAGTCAAACACCAAGGATGCTTGACTTCCAATGCCCATGTACCAATTTCCCTCCCGTTCATATGCGTAGTAATCATCGGTTTTGTGCCTCGCTAGCACCGAGACGACGGTCTCCAGAGCGTGGGCTTGGTTGGTGAAGGTAATAGACATTTTATGAGAAGACATTGTATACAGTTGTCAAGTTGATGGAAGTCATTTGTTGATTTTGTCAAAAATGGAGGATGTGTGGGCTCTTGAACCTTCAACAGACGGTACAACTATATACTTATTTATACCTTTCTCCCCCTAAGAAAGCTACACTCTAAGCGGACGTGTACCTCCACAGAAAAGCGAGCAACCAGTATATTGTCGATCAAATTCCTTATTGAACCCACTCTCAAATAAATGGGTACACCCCTAATAAGGGTTGTGATGCAACAGTGCAGTCTCGATACTTCCAATTGTGGACGCCCGCAGGCCGACCATTTGATCTCTCTTCTTTTGGGGTCTATGTAGCCAAAACCTAATGACGTCATCAAATATCGCGGTGAGGTGGCAATTTTTCAAACCTTTGCAATGCTAAAAAGTGTTGTCGATCTTGATATACATTCCAAGCCATTCAGGACGATAAATGGGGATGCAAAAAGGCCTGTGCCACTCGAAAACGTTCAATAGCGCCTGTAACGGATTTGATCTCGGGCACGACTGCTATTTGTGTTACCCGAAGGGGTAGATATTGTGACACCAGTTGATGATCATCCTGCAAACTAACAAAGATAGTATCAATATGCTGTCATTTGCTTCCCAGCTGATCATCTAGTACAAGCTTTTGTGACACCATTAGATGATCATCCTGCAACCTAACAAAGATAGTATCACTATGCTGTCATATGCTTTCCAAGTTTGGCCTCTAGCAGATGCTCTTGTGATATCTGGGGTAATGATCATATTGCAAATTATTGTCGAGGCCCAAGGCATGTCTGGTTATATAGGTCCATCAGACGGCCATGGCTTCTGGAAACTAGAAAGCAACCATCGCGTTGAGCCAAACTCTCATTGGATTTTGCATTCTGCTGAAAAACTAACTCAAGCCTCTATAGATCACGTCTCTTTCCACCAAGAGATAGAACCATGACTCAGAAAGATGAATACGTTTTAGGCCGAGGTATTGGGGACTCGGTTAGGTTAGCTTCGACGCATGTTCTTCCTTGGCTTCATTTGTATCCAAGGATTACAGTATGCCAGAGCGCTAATGAATAGCAGGTTGGATGCACAGCACCTGCTTTGGAAACTTCACAGAGGCTACGAGCTGCATCCTGATATTCCCGTAACTGAGAATATGAAGGTTGCTGAGCTTGGGACAGGGACGGCGTAAGTCCTTAAACCTCCTTTTTTAAATGGCTTCTGGTCCTGTAATGACTTCGCATATCCAATAGCGTCTGGATATTTGACCTTGCAAGACAGCTTCCACCGACAGTTCAGCTGGATGGTTTTGACATATCCGACGATCAATTTCCGGCAAAGGACTTATGGCCCCAAAACGTTACGCTGGGACTTCTGGACTCTTTGGCTGATCCGCCTTTACCTCTTTATGGTCAATATGATGTGGTGCACCTGCGGATGTGGGCGAGCAATCTGCGGGAAAGTGATACATCGTCGTTGGCCTGCCACATCAAGCACCTCTTGAGTATGGCCTGGTCTGGCCGACTAATTCAAGGAATCATAGAAGCTAACAGTTGGACCTTTAGAGCCTGGAGGGTACATACAATGGGAAGAGGCTGATTTGGTACACCAGCGTATCAAAGGTGCAGAGGCACAAGAGTTCGAGCGGAACATGAACGAGATATTCAAAAGGGTCGGTCTTGACTACAGGTACGTTGGTCCAATACGACGGCGATGAAGTCAGAATTACTAAAATATTTGGTGCCATAGCTGGGTGTCAGACTTGCCAAACCGCTTGCGACAAGAGAACTTCAACGTTCTCGAAGTAGAAAACGATCACTTTAAGCCTGAGCTAGTGCAACTCTGCACGAACACTTATTTGATGGCTCTCCGTGAAATCCTTCAAGGCATCAAGAGGTTACTTGCACAGAATATGCTGCTTTCAATTACCGAACAAGAGGTGGCTCTCTATCAATTGTCTTTACAGAACACGGGGGTTATCTATAACTGGTCGCCTGTAGTGATATTGGCACAAAATGGTAACGGGATTGAGGTTTGACGATGATGTGGTGAGCCCGGTCAGCTTACAGTTGGAATGTCAATATGATATGGCGGATTTTATAGGAATCTTACCAACGGGGTTTCTCGGTTGTACATTTGGTTCAAAATAACATTTTCTTCAGAATATATTTACTTTTCGTAAAATATTGTGAGCCTGGAATATGTTGAGACTACTTGCCAGCTCCGCTCACCGTGAGTGTCTGTGACAAGGAATCTCTTTTCAAGGGGAGCTATAGAATTTTGCTTTACATGATCAGTTATAATATTTGGGCGAGTCGGCAAAGCCCTAATAAAACCAAGTCTTCTGATGCCTGGGGTTTCGTGGTCGTCATGCATTTCTGAATTTGTTACTTTTTCCATGCTGTGGAATTGTCATTCGTTCAGGATGTCGATAGGTCTATTCGCTGTTTACAAAGCACTCCCTCAAATAGCTGATCATCTTTATAAACATAAGCTTAAACTTTGACTACTGGTTCACATGGGGAATTGCTCATTAAGTGTTCGACTCAACCGGGCAAAAAAGTTTATAATGAAAAGCATGCCCATAGTGCACAAAGGGCATCATACAAAATGCTCAGCGCAAGCGATCTGAGGGGATAATTAGTTATTGGGTTAGATGATCTACATGGATGCGAGGGATACTTATTTTCCACATTAGTTGGAAGCCTCAGAAATCCCAAAATCAGATAGAGTAAAATCTACAGCACTGAAAAAGAAAAGTAAAAAACAAGATATCTATTTCAACGCTGGTCACAAGTCAAAAGTTGACTCAAGTCAACAACGAAGGGCAAGCTTCAACGGGTTGACTGGTCGAGTATGTACCCGCGCCCGCGCACGACCGTGGCCTGACGCTTTCTGCAGTCTAGACGGACAGAACCACACACAGCTCAGACAACCAACACTCAAGCGAGGCCAGGAAAAAGATCCATGATCCTTAGTGATGAAGTTGAGCGCTCTTTGGTAAAGTCAAAAATTGAATGGCTTCCAGTGCGTCAATATAGATGACCGCAGATTTGACGGTGAGCCAACGTTTCTTAATCGACTCAATTTCACTCATTCTCAACATGAGTCTATCATTTTTTCTCGGTGGTCGTCTAAATGTCACCAAGAATTTCGCTGCAAATAGTTGCGGTATATGTTACAACAGGCCTCACTTAGGATAGGCATCGTGTCCTTCAACGTTTGCTACCTAGTAGAGCACGTCGCGACAGGAGCCGAGAAGCCTATAAATACATCTTTTCCCCCCAGAAATTTGTTCTACAATACTATCACTTGGCTACGCAAAGTCGAGCAGGCCTTGTGTGTGAGGAACCTGATAAGTTCTTCCCTTCAACCCTACTGGAATTTCCACTGTACTGACACCTATGGATACATCGTGGGCCGACAAGCTAGAAAGTGCTTCTGAGAAAGTGATTACCACCAGGTCCACTATGTCACCCATGCCAGCCGACCAAAGAAGCAGATTGGGGTTAGCTGGTCAAAGTATCTCTGCGAACATCTGTCCACCACAGCAGCGGACTCACTGTCACCGCCCCTGAATATCCCTGATGCAAAAGAGCGGTTTCATACAGGTATGTAAGTCTCAGCACGATACTGTGTGAATTCAGCTGACTCCAAAGACGATGCGAAACGAAAATACGTGCATTCCGTCCAATATACACCAGCGCAGAAAACCTCGGAGCCCTTCTCCGTGTCTTCTTCTGAAGTATTGACCTTCAGAACATGAGTCATGGAATACCTCGCCGATCGACAAGTTAATGATGGACAGGAGACCGTTGACAGCGCACCAAAGTGAGTCAGTGCCCCGCGCAAAACCATTGCTTATATACCATTTCTGATCCTGCCGCTTTTTATCATGGAGCGTTACCTATGTGGACCATTGCAAACAAAGGTCGCGGGCCAAGAACAGGACGTATAAGCTCCAGACGTTCGTTGTCCACGATGTGGTGAGTGGAATATCGCGCCTCCTGCTGCGCCGGTTTTGATTTTCTGCCAAGTCTGCGCCCCAGACACGAACACCACTGATATCTTCATGCTGTTGTAGGAGCAGCCCATCGCCACCCGCGGAAACTCTTGTGGCGAGTTACCTATTCCCGCCGAGGTCAGATAAGACACGACGACGCGCTCCATCGCGTCTACTGCCCTCCTCCTCACCGCCTTCACGCCCTCAACAACGGAGTGCCTCTACACGAAGCAGTCTCCCTATACGACTGTACAATTTCTTGTCACACGTGAGTTCGTCATGCGCCTTTGCCGTGTTGTGAACTTGTCGGTTCATCCAGCGCGGCTTCTCGAAGCGACAGCCGGAGAGTGCGGCGAACCTGGATACAACATGGGATATTGGTGACTGCATTGCAGAACAGAATTGGCAGTGATCTAGTTGGGAAGCTGGTATGATCACGATTCTTGTTTATCATCTGCTTCAAGCGTACACTTGGGGGATTCTCCAAGAACAACGTAAAGTACAATACCTCGTCCAGCTGGATCAATACTTGCTGACTCGGATCTCACAACAGGAAGACACCAATGCGAAGCGAGCAAATGTCTTGTCTGCTCAACCTCCCCTGCACCAACACCATCGCATGCTCTGTTTCTTCCACATGACTACCGGTGGCATCGACGAATCGCTACCTCGACCTTCTCCCAGTCGATTTGGTTCATCAGATCACGCGTTGGTATGCCTACCTGATGCAAGACCCAATGGAGCGCATAGCAGTGTCTGTCTCTCGGCATTTGAACACCCACATGGGATAGCCACTTGCGGCTTGGATCCCCGGCGTCCAGTGGGTGACCATCGTTGTCCTTGGATGGCGTCTAGCGTCTTTCAAGCCTGAAAATGAAGACACCGGGAGGAGCTGAAGTTTCGTCTTGTTAGAGTCGTATTTTCGTACACGGCGAGGTTGTTCGTCGAGTTTGCTTGCAAGGAGAATGTGAGGCGAAAGTGCCGTCATCTCTAGCCGAATGGACTAACAATAGCCATGTCGGTTTCGAATCGATGGACAAAACCGAGGACGGCCAAACGAAAGAGAGGACCCATGACCCAAGAACCACGTCTGATAGAGTCCCCCTGAATCCTCTTCCTCTCCGCGTTGCTGAGCTTGTCGACATGTACGAACGAGCGGCAACGAATCATTCGGACATACACGGACCTGCATGCTATTAGAAGTGTATACTTTCTCACTATTGGACCAAAGCTTGGTTGATTAGATGCCGAAGCCTGCGCTTTTCTATCCAAGCCCGAGCACAATTTGCAAAGCCCATACACTTTGAGGGTCACTGCAGCTGCAGGTCAGTCTAGCTATCCAGTATCCTTCGTCCATTGAGACCGTCGTCTAACATATCGCAACTGGCGGCGCAAGCAGGTCTTGCCAACAAATCGCCGATTTCTCTACGTCTCTGAGCTCACTGTGCTTTGATCATCTATGATGTATTTGTCATCGCGCCCAAGACGATATCTGGCATATCACTGTTGAGCAATTCACCGTGAAGGTGGGCTTGATGTCTGTAACAGCACCACAAGAGCCCTCGGGCTCCGGTTGTAGGACCTCTGAATGTCCCGTACAGCCTATACGAATTATCTACCCCAATAAGCGCTCATGTTACATTTGCTTGGGGGGGGATTTGAGCGGATGCCTGCTAGGGTCACAGGCGGATGAGAACACCCCTGTACAAATATCACCAGGTCCCGAGCGGCGATCGTGGAGAGTGTTTTTGCTAGTTCTGGTTCCAGAGGGCTAGTTGGAAATCGATCGGACTTCAATCATGCTATATCAGCAGCGGAGCATGCTGTATTGCATGCCTCGGGAATAGGCACCACAGAAAAAAACGACTGTTTCTTAATCGCTGTAGTGGACTTTTACGAGAGATTGGGTGAACTATGAATCGGAAGTACTGACGGGGAATTATTCACAAATTTGCGACGGCTCCTACCTGTAGGAGCGAATCAGATATTCCCGAGCCAAAGCTACCAATGACATGTTAACCTCGAGAGAAAGAAACTCTCACTCTCGCAATCGCTCTATAATGTAGGCATTCTAGTGTAGAATAGGTTCGAGTGACTAGCAATAGTCATCTCAAGCAATTTCTTTGGCGACGCAAGAAACTGAGTCTATCGCATAATCATCTTGAATTGAACCCATGATTCGGATTTTCAAGACACATCACATGGCTCTACACTAGTTCTGATCTTGAGTGTACAGTATATTGCGTGATCAGAGTTGCACAATTCTTGAATTAGATCATCTCAATTGAGTTGGAGGCCGTAGTCAAGGCGTGACCAACAGGGATCAAAATTGCTTTGCAGAATCAAAGAAATGCAATTGAAGTTTCTATAATGTGGGTGACATGGCAAGAAACCGCGCTGCCTCCATGAGACGTTGACCACCCCTCCCTTCACCGCCCGACCATTCACTACAACAGTGATGTTTCGCTACACACATTTCACCACATCAACACGCCAACATCAACACGCCAACATCAACACGCCAACATCAACACGCCAACATCAACACGCCAACATCAACACGCCAACATCAACACGCCAACACATCAACACATCAACTCTCAACTCTCAGCTCTCACCAACTTTCAACTTTCAACTCTCAACTCTCACCAACTCTCACCAACTCTCACCAACTCTCACCAACTCTCACCAACTCTCACCAACTCTCACCAACTCTCACCAACTCTCACCAACTCTCACCAACTCTCACCAACTCTCAACTCTCATCACAACATACATTCCATCAAAACAAGCATCCCCGCACAGAATCTCTGTTTACTCTACACCTGAATGAAAGATGCCATTTCCATTGCAGCGAAGGGATTATCGGACCGCGGAAAAGGCAGAAAGAGTGAGAATACGGGTCGCTAACGAGGGAAGCCCAATTTGAATGTTACGACTTGGTGATTAATTTTGGGATGATCTATATTCATTCTATCTATCCAATGGTGCTTCTTCGGATAGGAGACAGACTATAAAAACTGTTGGGCAGGTCTTTGCTTCATCGAATACTCTTGGAATACTCGAATACTGGTCCCCAGCACCACGGAGGTGCCTGCACATAGCTGGGGAGCCATAACAAGTCCTTGGCGAGCCAAGTCTTGCATGACTGAGCGAACTTTTACAATCACAGGGCTCATTGGCTGTGAGGGAGCACATTTTTACAATCACAGGGCTCATTGGCTGTGAGGGAGCACATTTTTACAATCACAGGGCTCATTGGCTGTGAGGAAGCGCAAGTCTTACATCGCTGGGCTCGTGGCAGCGACAGCCGTGGTCACGGAAGGTCTGGAGTCCTTGGTTTCGCAGAGCCCATCCTGCGAAGCACACTTGTTGACGCAGAGCCCATCCTGCGAGGCACACTTGTTGACGCAGAGCCCATCCTGCGAGGCACACTTGGTAACGCAGAGCCCATCCTGCGAAGCACACTTGTTGACGCAGAGCCCATCCTGCGAGGCACACTTGGTAACGCAGAGCCCATCCTGCGAGGCACACTTGGTAACGCAGCGCCCATCCTGCGAAGCACACTTGTTGACGCAGAGCCCATCCTGCGAGGCACACTTGGTCACGCAGAGCCCATCCTGCGAGGCGCACTTGGTAACGCAGAGCCCATCCTGCGAGGCGCACTTGGTAACGCAGAGCCCATCCTGCGAAGCACACTTGTTGACGCAGAGCCCATCCTGCGAGGCACACTTGGTCACGCAGAGCCCATCCTGCGAAGCACACTTGTTGACGCAGAGCCCATCCTGCGAGGCACACTTGGTCACGCAGAGCCCATCCTGCGAAGCACACTTGTTGACGCAGAGCCCATCCTGCGAAGCACACTTGTTGACGCAGAGCCCATCCTGCGAGGCACACTTGGTAACGCAGAGCCCATCCTGCGAGGCACACTTGGTAACGCAGAGCCCATCCTGCGAAGCACACTTGTTGACGCAGAGCCCATCCTGCGAGGCACACTTGATCACGCAGAGCCCATCCTGCGAGGATTGTTGTTCACGCAGACCTATCCTGCGGGGTAGTCTTGTTTTCGCAGCACCTCCCTGCGAGGATTATTGTTGACGCAGACCTATCCTGCGAGGTAGTCTTGTTTTCGCAGCACCTCCCTGCGAGGATTGTTATTCACGCAGACCTATCCTGCGAAGCACCTTTTTACACTCGCCGGGCTCGTGGCAGCGACAGCCGTGGTCACGGAAGCTCTCAAGCCCGCAGGCAAGAGAGGGACACTATGATGCATCAAAGTGCGAGGACCAAAGTGTGAGGATGGAAGTCCTGAGAATTTTGGGCTGGGAATCCGGCCCCTTTTATAATTTTTCGGTCAAGTCTCTACCAAGGAACCATTGCGCCGAGGGTAGCGAGAATCACAGTCCTTTGGTTGGCGTTGAAGCAAGTTGAACGACGTTGAAACGGTGTCTGGAGACTTTGTGGCCTATAGACTCAAGTTTCGACCTGGGATCATTTCTCTCAAATCGTGCGTTGGGTACGGTGAACCACTTTCAACTGTTGGAAGAAAGCAACGCCGCAAAAATATGATTCCTACACATCATTGAGTTTGCAATTAAATCGCTCAACGCGGTGGCACTCTACATCTGCCTGTTCTAGCCACGCTCACCGTCCCTTTCATCAGGGTTGAAGCGCTTCAACAGATGCCGAAATAATAGGTTGAAAAATTTCTGGCTGACAGAAACGCTGGACTGTACCTGCGGTTGGCTGGAGGATCCTTTGGTCTCGCTCGAATCAATCCTGTTCATCCTTGGCCCCGCGCCGCTGAATGTTGTTTCTTTCCTGGCTACTCGCAGCCAGCTAAAGTTGTCTTTACTAGAATCTCTACAGTAGAATTCGAAAACAGATTACCCCTTGGACACACATGCTTCCTTTCCCAGCGCCCCACTCAGATCGCGCTAAACTGAATTCGGCCAGGGAAAATCCCACCATCTCTCCTTGATGTATTTCTGGCAGATCACCGAAGCTACCGTAATCACAGGGTCCAGTTTTGGTCTTAGTCGCCGCTGGCCAAACACTAGAATTCGAAAGCAGATCACCCTCCAGGCACTGACGCTTTGTTTGTCGGTGCATACCAAAAACTATGCCAAGCGTATGAGGTTAGTATCTAAAATTAGACCCTGACTCACGGTATCGTAGTATAGAACGTATTGAAATCTATCGCCTAATGGATCTTTGTAATGTACTTCAAGTGCGGGGTAGTTGGCTTGGGGAGCTCACGCGGCCTTCTTCCTCTCTGTTCGCTTTCTTTTTCGAATCTAAGCAGCAGAGTGTTTGTACTTCGAATCTTATGCCATCAGATTAATTTTATTTCAAGCTATACTACAAATCTTACGGCATTACATATCGCATGTACGTTCTCTTCCCTGAAGCCATCCCACGTACGGTGAAGATAGGAATATATGAAGCATTCCATCTCCAGTCGACTCTCACTCACATACTTTCGGTAGCATCACAGATTAATTCAACATATCGCACGTGGCTAAAATTCATCAATCGCATTGAAACTCAAGATCTGCGGGTTTTTTTCTTTGAACCAAAGATGGCAGGCCCAGAATTTGAGCAACGAATGGCTAAGGTCCAGGAAGAGCATACACGGCGCATGGCTGAGATCAGATTGTTCCAAATCTGCCAAAAGGGGTCGATCAGCACATACGTATCTGAGTTTTTGGACATCGCCCACATTCTGCAATGGAACGACGCGTCGTTAATCCCTCTCTTTGAAAATGGACTGAAAGATGATGTCAAAGACATTTTATGCATGAGAGACCGCCCGGACACTCTTTCTGGTCTTATTGAAGAGGCTACGAAGATTGATAACAGAATTCAAGAAAGAGGACACAAAAGAAGTGGTTCAAGGCCTTGGACGAGATGACTTGTTTACACCGAGTTTAGGGGGGCATGTTTAATTATTCATTCCATATATTAAACAAGTTCCGCGCTTAAAGAGTGGACGCAGTAGTGACTGACTTTGTGCCATTTTACTAATAAAGTGTAGATTTGACGACGACAGCTTCGCAATTTTACATAAAGATTTAAGCAGCTTTCTCATAGTACTGATGAATGGATGAATGTCAGGGTGAGGAGGGGCACTGAGGTAGGAGTGAATAGGAACTCCCTGTCAAGTAAGTTACGGTACTTTACGTAATGCGGTTGTTCTAGAATAAAAATGATCTCTTCTTAAGATTGAATTATTTACGCCGTACTTAAACGGAATAGCATAGTTTCTACTACACACCGACTAAGAAAGCGTCATTGTCTAGAGGGTGATCTGCTTTCGAATTCTAGTGTATGGCCACGGCAACTTATGGTCTGCACGGTGCCGGAATCTGTAAGTACAGTAATTCCGGTAATCTATCAGAGATATATAGTGGGGACATCCATTGATCGGATTAGGCTTAGCGCGATCGAAGTGGGGCGCTGGGAAAGAAAGCGTGTCTCCAAGGGGTAATCTGTTTTCGAATTCAACTGTACTCCCTGGCCGCACAGACACTGACATACTCCAAACTCGGGATGAAGGTTGCCTTTCTTTGGGGCGGCATGACAAACGTCCAGAGCTTATTGGAGAGCCTTCCGTAGGAAACTCAGCCTAGTTTCCAGGACAACCATGTGAACTGTTGCAACCAAGGTTAACGAGCTAGGTTCTCGTGATCGCCACCCCCTCGCAAGATTGCAACGCTACTATCACATTGATGAGTCTCTGGATACAAATAGCACCCGACGGACAAATCAAACACCATGCGCGAATTTAGACAGACGCAGGTACGGGGTGCGATGCAGATCCGAGCGACGACCCACGGGACAGTAGATCAAGGAGGTTCTATTTGTGGCCCAGAGGAGAAATTGAAAGGACTTGCAAAGGTCTAGACACGATCCACAAGCCCAAGCCTGATGGCCGTCAGTGTCCGATGGAACACAGCTTTGTTGCTTGGGAGGTACGGTCGAGGTACGGTCGAGGCAGGTGAGGTATTTGGAATATCACGCGGAATTCTGGCAACAGAATGGTAGGCTAAATCCCGATCCGCGGTTATGTTTTCCTGGTTGCCGTCACAAGAGAGTAAGTTCTCCTGTCAAGTGGCAAGCTGCTCCTTGTCTATCTGGTCTGTAGAACGTTCTAGAAGCTGTCTTCTGTCCTGCACCTTCCCCTGATGCTTATACTCTCTTTGAGCCCAACAAATACTCTCCATCTACCCAATTCGATCGCTAGTCTGATATGTCTAGCAGATGTCTTGTAGAAACTATGCCAATCATAGACAGACCACATTCGCTTATGTAAAAATATCTCCGGTTTTTGCACTAAAACCGAGATCTAAACCCGAGGAACCGATTGGCTCCCGGACATGGATCGACGTTGTGGGCCGGCCCTCCTGCGGTCCCTAACCTTATTTCAAACATCCCTGCGCATCTTGATCATGTCTCTAGCGATAGAGAATCTTTCTAATACTGCGTTGGTCCAATGTCATGTACATGAGCAGGTTGAGACTGGTGATTCTATGCCAATTCTCTGGACTTTCCTTTTAGGCTGTAGGACTTAATCACGAGCAACCTAGAAAGCAAGTGGGGCAGAAATTTGTAGATAAGCGTTTCTCGTCGATCATTCATGACAGCCGCATTCTCTCACCGAGTGAGTGACCGTTTCCATGGTTCATCGAAATTCTATTTCAGGGGTCAGCGATTGATGGACGACCCCGGTAATGTTCCACCGTGTTTGGGGTAATTTTTGTCAAACCATGACTTTGTAACTCCCTCGCTATTGTTGTGATCTATTGTTGGGATTCCGAGGATTGATGCTTGTTCATATTTTGAAACGAGCTTCATACATACAACCACTTAGAGATCTATCATGTTGCATCTTGATTGCTCAGCTGCCACATCTTCCGGTTGTAGCATCATCCAACAACACTAATTCATCGAGATAGTTACTATGGTTGCTTGGAGATCACAATGTAACGCGCATGTCAGCGAACTGCTGGTAGCATGGACGTTCTGGGCATCGGTATCTCAGCTTCCTGGCTACAGAGACACGATGTACGTAGTCCCAAATCTGCGATGACGATCGTGTTTCTTCACGCCGTGACTGACGGAGTAATGACATCGCGCGGCCTGTGATTGATGATCAGCTTGTAACAAACGGTGGAAGAAGGTCAGCTCATACCTCGTCTCCAACCTTTCGTCTTGGTTGATTCAATGCTGTCGATATGGCTAGGCTCGGCCGTTAAGATTGTTTGAAACCATTTTTTAATGTTGCTTTGCGCAGGCCTTTTTTTTGGGAGAGTTGCCAATGAAGCCTTACGGCCGACCGAGCGACGAACAGTTCCTGCTCGGTTTCGATTGCCTGAATGCTTGGGCGATCTGGCACCAGTGCGAAGTTGCTTGCGCAAAATATGGTACATTTTCCCTCGTAGAGACTCAACGCTTCGGTCCACCTGATATTGTTCATAATA